GATCTTCAGCTAAGTTGTCACTTCTCTACTTCTGGTTTGCATGCGCAGTTGACTAATTAACGTCCTCTGCGCACAGCAGCCCTAACGTTTTCCTCAATTCTAGATCGCGATTGGCCATGGCACTGTTTTGGAAATCAAGCACCCTTTTAAATTTTGAATTTTTGTTGTTTTTTGGGGTAGTGCTTGAATTTCATCTAGTACCTGCTATGTCAGCTTCCCTTTACCTGAATATTACTTTCTTCATCTGCCTCCAATAATTTCTTGGGATCTAAATCTAATCTTGGATCATACTGTAAGCTTGGTTCTTGTGTTCTCCTATAAGTTACCACTTACCTAAGTGTAATTTCTAATTACCTTCCTTTATTCATTTTGCAGGTATGATTGTTCAGTTAAAATTTTCCAATATGGAAGTATAAGATACATCAAGGAAAATGTCGGTGAGTGTTGTTTGGATTAGATTAGTTGTTCGAATTAAACAGTGTCTTCATTGAAGACACTANGGGGGGGGGGGGGTCCATAGCCATAACTGTAACGCTCTCAATCATTTTCAAATTTTCTTGTAGACACCAATCATTTGTACATTACCGCCGTTTTCAATGGCTACTTTTGCCCGGCCCTTGCAACAAAGGTGTTGCACTTTACCAATCTGTTATATTTTCAAAATGGAAATATGTGCTGTATATTTTATAAAGAGCCCTATTCACAAACACCGTAATTCATTTCACCTTATCTATAATCCCATTCCTCCCCCTCCCCCCCCCCTCAGATTAACTTCATTGCCCCCTTTTCATCTACTTTTGATTCCTAAACATAATTTTCTCCCTGAATGAGATAAGCTGTACAATAATTCAAAAATGTAGTAAGAAAAGAAATATTTTCTCCCCTCTATATTTAAAACGTCATTTACGCTCACAAATGAACTTACTTTACTGCGATAGTCTTTTACGGCTCCTTATCTGTATGTCACAATTTAATTTATTTGTTCCCACCAGCCCTAGGTTTATGATCTCCCTTTCCCCCTTACCATGTCCATGGCTTCTATCACAATTTTGACTTTGAGAACTATTTTCAGACATCAGCACCTAATTTCTACAAGAATCCCATAGTACTAATGATCTCATAAATTTCTACTGATAGTATCACATGGGCTGGAATTTTTGATAGTATTTGGTGGAGCTGTGAAATGATTTTGTTGCTAATAAGGAATCTTATTGCAGGGGAGACGAAAGCAGACCCAACCACCTACATCCCAGTTAAAATCCAAGTCAGGGAAATGGAAGCGGGAAAAAAAAAGTACTGTAAAGCTGGTAAACAAATCCATTGACCTAGAAACCAGCAGTGACTCTATCGATATTGACTTTAGCAGCAAGTCTAGCATTAGCGACTGCAATAACTCATCTGTACCCGGTTCTCCTCTTCTTAGCAGCACTCCATGCGGTTTAAATGAAAGCACTATCGTGACTTCTTTCAATACTTCAATTCCAGCAGGGGTGTTAAATGTTAGCGTTTTCAGTGATACTGCACGTACTGTAAATGAAGATATAGAGCCTAGAGACAGGGAGCTTGGAGACCTCTTGCAAGATTTCATTGTCATCAATCCAGCCCCACATTGTGAAGATGCATCATTCGCATCAAATTTTGATATCTGCAATTTTGACGACCCTTCACAGAACTATGAATGCTCTTCGGATGAAGAGCATTCAGATGAAGAGCATTCGGATGAAGAGCATTCAGATGAAGAATTGCAAGAGCTTTTCAGATATTGCCAAGACGAAGGTGAATCACCTGAAGTGCAGACAGGGCTTTCACCTATCATAAAATTTCTCCGTGAGTGGTCTATCGAAAACTCCATAACATTATTGGCTCTATCAAAATTATTAAAAGGGCTGAAGGAACACCACTCTCCCTGTTTTGAGGAACTTCCCGTAGATGGCAGAACAGTGATGAGAACTTGTGTGAAAAAGCTGGACGTCATTGAAATCCCTCCAGGACACTATTTCCATCTGGGTCTCAAGAAACAGCTTGATTTCATTGCCACAATTATCGAGGGAAATGTATCTCAGATGGGGATGCTCTTTAATATTGACGGGGTTAAAGTCTACAAACATACAAAGTATTCAATGTATCCAATATTAGTTACTATACCAACCTGTCCGTCTCTTAAAAACAAAGTGTTTCCGGTTTCCCTGTATTATGGGCTTGGTAGACCAGCCGACATGAAAGAATTTCTGAGGCATTTGATAGATGAAAATATTAAGATTTTGCAAGATAATAACTTTCGTATAAATGGAAAACCTGTGGAATTGTATAACCTTGGGTTTTCCTGTGACGTCCCCGCAAGAAGCGAGATCTTAGAAACCATAGGCCATGGAGGCTATTACAGCTGTTTTCGCTGTGTCGTGAAAGGCGACTCGGTGCCAAATACTGCACCTCGTCTGGGACGTAAGCGCAAAGGAAAGCAAGCAAGGCGTCAGGGATTTAAACGAGTATTTCCTGGGCTTAATGCCGCACCGAGAACGGATTTTAAATTCCGCCGGAAATCATATCGTAAACACCAGCCTCCTTCAAAACCACTAACCCCATTGGTAGACATGCCAGGTTTGAATTTTCCGCGTTCGTTTGTATTGGACACAATGCATCTGGTGTATCTTGGCGGAGTGAAATCTATTCTGACAACTTTGTTCGTTGGTGGTGAACACATGCTAAATGTGGCTTTACGGCGTCAAGTTCAAATGAAACTTGAAGACTGCCTGCCTTTTTTTTTATTCCCTCCGAGTTTCAAAGGAAACCGACAGAAATCACTAGAGTTGCCACTGCCAAAGCAGCTGAATGCCGCTTGTACTTGCATTACCTAGGGCCTGTTATCTTGAAGCACTCTGTAGATAGTGATAAATACATTCACTTCATGGAGCTCTCCATTGCCATGAATATTTACAGTCAGGCCTCGTTTTGTGCGGATGAGGAAGCTAGAGAACTTGCCAAAAGCCTACTAGATCACTTTGTTTCGTCTATACCTTCCTTATATGGTGAAATGTACTGTTCTCATAATATGCATTCCATCCAACACATTCATGAGGATGTTGAATGGTTTAAGGATTGCATTCCAGATTTCACGATCACTGACATTGCTACCTGGCCAACTGAAAATTTCAACCAAGTTTTCCGCCGCTATACAAGGAGTTATGCAAGAACTTTGCAGCAAAATGTTAGAAGACTTTTAGAGTTGTTTACATCTGATTTTTGGCAAAATAAGTACAAAAAGAACAGCAGTGATTTATGTTGTGAAGTTTCTCTGAAGAATCAGCATCACGATGGGCCATTGCCGCTTCATGTCAAGGGGCATCAGTATAAAGAAGCAATTTTCCCTCGCTTTCAACTATCTGTAAACCAACGCGACTCCACTTGTGGAACAGCAAGCGGAGATATCATAGTCGCCATGAATTTCATCAGGGACAGGAGGACAGGTGAAAACTTTGTCGTTGGGAAAAATTATGAACGCAAAGCACCATTTTTCAGTACGCCGTTACCGGATAGTACAAAGTTTGGCATATGTAAAGTGTCAAAAGTTTCGAGTAACATTAATGTATGGCCGTTATCCTCCATCATCGTAAAATTTGTGAGACTTCCGTACGTGAGAGACGAATCCATCCCCATTCATTATAGACACGAGGAATACGTCGTTCTTCCTCTCCTGCACACAGACCCTGGGCCCACCACTTCTTAAAATCATGTGTGAGTATATGTCTAATTGGTTGGCCTTTTGTGCACTTGCGAATTTGGGATTGCGGTAGAACATTCGAAATGTAAATAGTGTATTATATTGACTTGCATGTTAATTTATTTTTCCTAAAATACCATTCAGGTACTATCAATATGTACATAACAGTAGGTTTTTTCTTTCCGCTCCCCCCCCCTTTTTTTTTCACGTAGAACAAGTTTTGGAATCTGAACAATTATTTAGCAGAAACATTTTTCAAGTTTTCCCCAGGACTTTTAAGAAGCTCAGAATCCTTTAATTATCAGAAGTTCTTATTGCAAAAAAATGAAGTGAGTACTTATTGCTGACAAAAATATAATAATTTTAGCCTGCAAGCTTCCCTTTTGCCAAAAAAAAATTAGAAGTTCTTCCTGGCCAAAAAATTAGCAAAATATATTTAATACCAGGGGAATCCTGTCGTGAAGAAAAGTAGGTAAACTTCGGAGATAAAAGGAAAGGAGACAAAAGGTTAGAGCTTTCCTAGTTCTCAGGGATTTCCAGTTTAACACAGGAACCAGTGCCCGCTTTTTCTGCTACCTTAGAATCTTACCCAGATGAAAAATTTGAATCCTAATTTTGGATGAAAATAATTTAGGTCTCATTCTTTGATTTTTGTCTCTTGATCAACAGGCTCTATTCGCTTATGAAATAAACTTCTGCTTGGTTTAGGTACATGCGTTGTTGGTGAATAAGCAAAAATACTAATCTTTTGTTGTCACCTTCTACAGATTCCTTGTTCTCTTCAATTCCCCTCAACCAAAGAAACATTTCTCTTTTTTTTAAAATTTAATTCACTCTTGATTTATATTAACTGCCTGCAGAATATTTGGCAAAAATGTGAATCATCATTGTTCAGTACGTTCCCTTAAAAAAAAGATGGAAAAAAAATGTAACGCAACAGCAGAAATCAAGACCAATCCACACAGGTCAGTCATTCCCGAGGACGAGTTTTGGTACTCTACTGCGCAGTGACGTAGTATTGAGTGCTTGCAATGTATTTCTTATGGGTGCACTCAATGCTACGTCACAATGAGTGCTGCGAGTTAGGGCCGGGCGGGGGAGTGGATTTCAAAAAAGCTGCGCAATGACTGACCTGTGTGGATTGGTCTTGGCAGAAATTTTAAAATGCTGGAGCAATTTGTGCTGAGGCACTTTCACCAACAAAATCTTACTTCACGCTATTGTTTCGCAGTTCATTAGTGATAATTTTTTGACGCTGCAGTCAACAGTTTTCAGCACTGGTCAGAGGCAAAGTATCGATGTATGAAACCAACATGTACCCATAATTCACCACTTCACTAATTTTCAGGATAAAACTGAATAACCAGCACTCCGTAGCTTGAGTAGTGAAACTTTTTTATTGCTGAATCTCTTAGGCTTAAGTTAATATTTTATCTGCTTAGAATTTTGCTGCTTTTTATGAAATTTTTGAAAGAGTAATGGTACACTAAACAGATCAACTCTGGACTAAACCTCTCTATTATTTGGCTTGCTATCATTCAATAGCGGCATTCTTAACCTTGCAATTTTGAGTATCAGGCTTCCCATGTCTTTCATGCTGTAATTCAATTTTGAGTCCTTTCTTGCTTTCTTAGATTTAGAAGAATAACCTGCTTGGGAACTTTTCAGTTTCTGATGTCTTCTCTTGTTTATTGAAGATATGCTTTTGCCTCCTCTAATTTTTAAATTTTTTACTGTATATAATTAGCATTTTGTACAGAATGTATCTTCAGTTTTTCTTTGAGTACTTGGGGAGGTTTTGCTCAATTCATGGAATTTTATCTTCTGCTACAATTTTTCTTCGTAAATCATTACTGCATAAGTGAACGAGCGGAGAAGTTTCATACTTTGAAAAAGTACTTTAACAGAAAATTTGTTGGGCCAACTTACCTGGCATGTTGGGGTGTTTTCAAAATTGTTTTGGCTTACCTAGTACTTTTTTTTTTATTGGAGAAGAGGTCGGTAGAATTGCTTAAGTCAGAGTTGCCTCTGCTGGGAAACTTCAGTGAATTGTTGAATAACACAAGGAATTCCTCCCCCCCCCTCTCCATAGAAGCCTACTTTTGAAAGAGGTAAAGAAGTAGCCAATTAAAGTAGTAGTAGTGTGTTCCAAATTTCAGTATTATGCATGAAAATCCTCTGCAAATCACGATTATGAGTAATGAAATTACCTTGTCTCACAGTGTGTGCACATCATTTTGACATAGACGGTGGCATGTATCACTAAATGGATGTGCGGAATGTGTCTGATTTTGTGCATTATTTTAATTCAATATTACATATTCATATATCATATATCATATAATATTACATATTCAAATATAGCATACGCATGTAGTTTGTAAAATGGTCATGTGAGGCAGCTAACATTCCTTTCTCTCATTGCGCTTCCTCATTGAATAATTTGCAAACACATGAAAAACTCCAAGAAAATAGTCTTCAACTGAGAGGCAACCCTGCATAATTTTTCAGTAACTTTTTCTCGGGAAAGTGTACTTAAATGATACAAATTTACAAGTGAAGGTGGGCAACAGATTTTGGGTGACAAACTAAAATATCGACCCTACTTAAAAAACAGGAATAGTTAGCCAGCTTGCCTATTATTAGTCCAAAATTGCGCTAACGTTCAGTCGATTACCTTATTTTTATAATTTTTAAGAAAGATAAAAAGAAAAAATTTGATTGTTTACCCGAAACTTAAACGTAATATCCGCCTTACAGTAGTCATAAACAGAGAAAAAACTTGATCTGCCTCAAGAAGTTTGCAAGAGGGTAGTCTGTCTGTCTGCTTTTGTCAGCTGAAACCGTTCAACTTTTCATACATGGGACAATAAAGTTGTGAGACTTAATCACCACCTTCCATGAACAAGTTTTGGTGCCTTGCCACTAAAGAACCTACCAAATTGTTAAAGATATGTTGGGGTTGAAAGGTTAGTACATTGTTACTTAATTCCTATTTTCTGTTTCTTTTAGTCTAGATCCAAAAGCTCTCACAACAAATTGTGGACTTTAGTATCGTACGAAAGTGAAGAAGGGGTAGTGTTTGATGCCATCCCAAATAGCTGGATAAAAGCAACAAAAGACGAAATATTTTATCCCCAGGGAACAAAAGCAGAGATCAACTCCCTGGCGAAAAAGTGCATCAAAGGAAAAGAGGGATCGTGGACTTCCCTTAAGCTCAAAGCAATCATAAAAGAAAATTATAGTAAGTATTACTTAAAGTATTCTTTGCTTGCCTTTCTTTCAGGTGAAAGTCTCAGGGTTATTGGTAGTCGAAAACGTGATACTGTAGCTTGTTTATTTCAGAGTGGTAGAAATTTTGCACACTCATATTTTCATCCTTGCTAAAAAAAAATGATAATACCAATTACAGTCAACTCTGTCCTGTCGATCAAGAAATTGCTCAATATCTCTTGGTGAAGAAATCAGGACAGCCTGTCCAGGAATTTTTCGTCTATTATTGGGAGAACTTTCTCCCTATAAAGTACACCTTTTCTTGGTGGTCTCCATTCCCCTTCTTGTCGTTCCTGCAGTAAAAACGCTCCTGACTCTGTTGCAGCTGATTTTGAGCAATGCTGTGTGGATATGATTAGGAAAACAAAAGAGAGAAAGCTAGCGCAGGAGAGTGCTGATGAGCGCGGCCCCTCTCGGAAGAAGAAACAAATTTATGATGTTTCCTCATGGCTATTAAGTAATGAAGCTGATGGACACAAGAAACGAAAAACTGATGGAAACGCTCAAACCAACGAACCAACCATGCCGTTACCCCATAGTAGCTCCAAAGAGACAGCTGATGGACTCAAGAAACGAAAAACTGATGGAAACGCTCAAACCGACGAACCAACCATGCCGTTACCCCATAGTAGCTCCAAAGAGACAGCTGATGGACTCAAGAAACGAAAAACTGATGGAAATGCTCAAACCAACAAACCAACCATGCCGTTACCCCATAGTAGCTCCAAAGAGACAAACAGCACTTGCAGCAGCAGCAGTAAAAGCAAACATAAGTCACGCTCCAGGAGTGAATCCACAGGGCCTAAAATAACGACTCAAAAGTCTTCTGAAGAAATTCCTATAGCTACAAGCAGGGAAAATGTGGAAAAAAATTTACCACACAAGGTGTCAGCCTCACATAGCTCCAAGCCGTCTACAGTTGATTTGATTGGAACTAATAGTAGCGTTGGTACTAAACCAATGGATAATCCATCCGCTTGTCCGGCTCCTCTTGAAACGCATGATTGTGCATGCAAAATGGTGCCTCCAATTAGTGACCCCAGCTTAGCACGCTATTTGTGCTTAAAATCATGTAAGTTAATCACTTTTCAAACTTAACGTGTCATGTAGCAAACAAACAGCCTTGATAGTTTCATTTTCTCACTATGTGATTTTCCCCATAGAACGCCGAAAATTCTACCGATTATGATTAGGAGCTATCTGAATAATTTCTGCTTTTGATTGAGGCATGTATACTGCTTAAGTTCAGGGTTTCCTCCTCTTTCTGGCGTCCTTATTTTTGGGGTTTTTTTTAATTTCATGACAAAATAATAGGGAAAGGGCTGGATAAATAGATCAGCTAAGTCTCAATAAAGTCTATTTGGGACCTGGTCAAACATTTTTGTGTCAAGATGTTCACATTTTAATGCAGACAGATGCATCTTTCATCAAGTGGGTGGGCGAAGAGCTTTCTCCAGCGCATGAAAAATCAAACAATTTTCTGTACCCTTTCTGGTATTTGGTTAATACACCTATATACTTCCATTTTACCAACAGCCCCTAGGATTTGATTGGTATTTTTTCCATGTTTCTGCCATTTCCTAAGCCCTGGTTTTGGTTGCAGGTTCAGATGAGAAGAAACGGGTTAGTTCCACGACCGGCTTGCAACAAAGTAATGAAGCAACTCAACCTCCAGTTCAACGCCGGGTCGTTGACCAAACTTTAGTGGACTCCTCACTAGTCGAGGACCTTCCTTTGAATAGTAATCGTGAATTAAACAAACTGAACAAAAATCTCAAGGAGGAGGAATTTGAAAATAAATTTGTAAGTTTACAGCTTCTTTCAGCGTTTGTGTGAAAGTGCTCTTTCATTTTTATATTTCAGAAAATCTAAGAAAAATTTTGTTGCTTAAGCAACCCAGCGCTAAAATGTATCAATAACGTTCAGGGGCTTATATCTACTCATACAAGAGACAGTGTAACTTCCAAGCGAATTCTTTTAATAGGTTCTCCTTCAGTTTTTTAAGTGGATCAATCGCAATGCACCAATTAAATCAGATTGGCCACTTGTAACCAACATTTTTTATTGATTAACTCTGCTTCTGAGCATTATTTTGCGTAATCTTTTAGGCTGTCTGTTGACCTGTGTTGTTGTTATGAAACAGATCTTAATAGTATGAAAATGATATTTGTGGATATTGGGGAAGAATTATTCCATTAAGTATGTGTGTGACAGGGCGAAGGATCTTTTATATCATCAATTGGACTGAGTTAAGCAGAAAGGAACCAACCCACATTTTGGGAAAAATTGAGTTATGAGTGGTTTTGAACTCAACCACTGCTCTACTATCTATCGCCAAAAATTCAAAGTTTTTGTCGGAGCAAATTTTGCAGAAATTGAACTTGAAGTTTATCTTTTACATTGAGTCTTATGTAGGAGCCAAACTTTAAACGTCTTTTTCTTGGTTCGATCCCGATGTGGCTTGGTTCCTTTCTGTTTAACTCCGTCCAATTGTTCCTCTCGAAGATTAATTGCAAGAGACCAGTCATTTTAGTGATCCGAACATTGATTTCTTCAACCTTATAATCTTTCTTGATCTTGGTAATATTATGACTTTGATATCTTGTTAAACTCATATTTGTTTTTTTTTCTTTCTTTCTTTCTTTTGCAGTTTGCAACATTTGTGGAGGAAAAACTCAAAAAGGCACTTGCCTACCCAAACTATACAGCAAGAAGAGTCATGGAAAACCTTATATCGATGAAAAAAGCAGGACAGTTTACATGGGATGGGAAACCAAGGAACGGGATTAAAAAACTTCCGTTTAAGCAAACTCGCCTATGCAAACTTATGTTTGGTAAGAATCAGCTGTTAATGTCATTACTTTCTTTCCCTCTTTCTTTCCTTATGATCAAGTTTATGAGTTATCAACAAATTATCAAAGAAAGATCGAAGGTATGTTTAAAAGCAGGCAATCTAGTGCTTTTTTTATCAATTAGTAGTGCAACATTTTCAAAGTACACAGTGGACTTGATGAGAGAGATAACCGTTAAGGTAGCTTCACTTGAAACAGTCCGATGTGACTGCTACATTGCAGAACCACCTTCACGTTTCATTTTTGTGGAAAGAAACCACAGAGGTTTTTACTATACAAATTTCTGTTAATCTTCCTCATCCTCATTTGGAGAATATTCTCCGAAGATTTCATATGGTGGTGAACCTTATCTCTTATATCTAGAAATGAAATATAAAAAAACATTTAAAACTGTTAAAATACAGTCTAACCTTTTGTGTTGCAACCTTCTGTGTGGATAAGATAAACATTAATGTTTTGTGGAATAAAAAATTAAATTTGAAAAAAAAGGAAAACCAAATGTCCGAGCCAAACAACGAAGTGTCTCTCTGAAGGCCCAGATACACACGGCGACATGTGTATCTAGGCCTTGAGAATGATTTCTTCCTCACAACTCAGGATAGGAATGTCTTAAAGAAAATTGTTAAAAACTCAGTCCTCCGCCAAGTTTTTTTTTTTCTTCTTTTTATTTTTCTTTTTCTCTCTGAAAACTGCTGTGTGTTTTTTTGAAGAATTAATGACTAAGACTTCCTGTACAGGTAAAAAAGAGGGTAGGTTGAAGAGTATTCGAAGGCAGGCTCCAGAAAATATCAAGAATCGTAATATTTACTAGTTATACCGAATACCTTGCACCAGCTCATGCCTATTTATTTATTTTTTTACTCATTCGGATGCTTGAGCATGAGGCTAGAGAAAACAATTTATATATTAGTCTTTATAATTTTCACATTCATGTTTCAGATATAACTCAGTACCTGCATCATCCAAACAACATAGACAAAGATGGAGTGGCATACTCTGTTGGCCAGTGGTTTTCACAGCAGGCGAGGAAATCCGAGAAGCAGACATCGTAAGTTTCATTCCTGTATTTTTCTATCATTCATCTTACAGTCTTGAAGAGATCAATGCTCTATGCTGTTGGAGGTTTATTCCAAGGAATTTTCCATTACTTGCAGTTAATTAAGATGAACTGTTGCTCATGTTCAACTTTTTCTGTTGACTTCGTGCACGTTCTGGTCTACATTTTCTAGTGAAAAGAACTTTCGTCCGTATATATTGCTTAATGGTTGATTGCTTATCCTCCTTTTGGAACTCAGCGACTATTTTTCCAGCCCTCTTGTTAGGAATGCACAAAGTGAGGAATCATGCAATCAGGGATACAGGTTGCAAGTGTGCTAACTAATGCAATTTCAGTGAAGGAAAGGCGTTTTGAATTTTGAAAACAAGAAATGAAAACGCAAGGTGCTTTCTGCACTCCTGCTCCTTACAGTATTGGCCTCTTCAGGGAAAGCAGGGAGCTAGAATACCAGGCAGGGGATTAAAAAATGTCTTGAGAAGATTTAAAAATTTTCCTATCCTGTGTAGTACTTCACTGGTCACTACTTTTATGTTAGCTTTTACCTATAAATAGCTCGAAAACCTATCAAAGAACCAGGAATTTTCTGGAAATTTTTTAAAAGAAGATTTTGTTAAAATTCTGTAGCTACCATGTTCTTAGGGGCTACCTCCCAGCTTTTGTTGGCAGTGAATTCAAGAAAAGTAATTCTCTTTTGATTTTCTTGTTCACAGGACTGCCAGTGAGGTGGCGGAAGTGGAAATCTTGAGCTCAAGTGAGAGTGAGAACGGCAGCGACAGCAGCAGCAGCGACAGTAGTGGCAGCGGTACTGGCAGCGGTACTGGCAGCCATCGCTCCTCTCATAAGAGCACCCCTCGCGACGGCTCGGAACGCAGCGACAGCAGCAGCGACAGTAGTGGCAGCGGTACTGGCAGCCATCGCTCCTCTCATAAGAGCACCCCTCGCGACGGCTCGGAACAGAGGACACCGCCGACTGACCAGTCAAAGTAAGCCCTTTTCATGTTTTTTTCTGAATTTTACTTGACGTTTCCGCTAGAATTTCTGCTCTGTGATAATGTTCTAGTAATGTATTTCTGCATAGAAAAATTTATTTCATTATTTTCATAATCTATCAGGTAGGAGAAAAGAATTCAGGGATTTTTTAGATGCCGGGAATGCTGAGGAAGACCTCTCTCAAAAAAAAGAAGGAATGACTCCGAAGAATTCAAACAGTACGGGTTGGGAAAACTTCGTTGCAGGCAGTGTTGTAGTACTGCTTAGAATTCACTCGATTTTCTCATGGGTTTTTATGGATCACTAAATAACAGATCTACTAAGAATATTGTGAACAATTTTTATCTAATGTTTCAGAAAATCCTATTCACAATTTCGTTTAAAACATTTGAAAATTTCAAGGAAAAATATGGATAACTTTCTGCTAAAATAAAAATTTTATCGAAGGAAATCTGGCAACTCTGGAATGGTCATATGGCATTCTTTCTGAGCGCTGCAGTATTGTGCACGTGCACGACCAATGAAAAACTTTCATTCAACCATTCAACTATGAGCTTAATTTTTGAAGCTTTTCAAGAACTTTTTTAGGTCAGAATTGTGTTTTTCTCGAAATTTGCATTGGCTACACCAGTATTGAAAAGGATCCCAGGATCATAGGAGCGACCCGTTCAGAGTTAAAAATTCCAATTAGCCAATTTGACATATTTCAAATATTGTGGAGCAGTTTTTACTGCGTTTTAGTGGAATTATCAACAAAATGCACAACATAACATCGGTTTTTTTTTTTTTTTTCCAGAGAGAATTCCTCAACTCACGATGATGCAGGGAGCCCAGTTGCCCCTGAATAGGCTGAAGGATTTAAAATTAAATCTCTAATGTCATTTCTATTTGATTCTATTATTTGACTGTATTATTCTTCTTTGATTCTATTATTTGACCGTATTATTCTTCTTTGATTCTATTATTTGATTCTTATTATTTCTATTTCTTCTATTCTTGTATTTTGAGCAAATACAAGTTTTCTAAAATTCAAGTATACCTTCATGGATTATTTCCCAGTTTTAACCAGTGAAAGCACTAATATTTTGATGATTGTTCTTTGTCATCCGATTGAGTAGAATTGGGCCGAGTTCATCAGAAAGGAACCAACCTGCATAAATTTGAAACTGAGAAAAAGAGGTCTGAAGTTTTATTGGTACATAAGACTCAATGTAGAAAGTAAACGTCATGATTTTGGGTTGGTTTCTTTCCGATGAACTCATTCCAATTGTCCTCAATAGGAATTTAAGAGACATATAAGAATAACTTCATTAAAGCAAGCTTGACCATAGAAACGTAATAACGAATTTTTTAAGGAAAGCAACCTCCATTTTATAATATTTACATAAAACGGTTGATTGAAACTCACTAAAGAAAGCTAAAGAAAACCAACAATTTTCTATAACCGAGGGTTTCCATATATTTAGCCGTTAATACCTCGGGAGTATAAACAACGCTTACTAATTATGCATCTCACTTTTCGGTTACCTAAAATTTATACTTCCTTTATAACATCTTTTTTATAAATCTGCCACTACAAAATGCATAACTGTTGTACAGCGAAGGTTTCCATATATGTAGCCGTTAATACCTTGGGAGTATAAGCAATGCGTACTAATTATGCATCTCATTTTTAGGTTAGTTAAAATTTATAATTTCTTCAAATTTTTTTTTATATAAATCTGCCACTACGCAATGCATAACTGTTATACAGCGAGGGTTTCCATATATGTAGCCGTTAATACCTCGGGAGTATAAACAATGCTTACTAATTATGCATCTCATTTTTAGGTTAGTTAAAATTTATACTTTCTTTAAAAAAAAATTTATATAAATCTGCTACTAGGGTAAGGGATCGGAATCCCGGATAAAACTAATCGAAGATATAATGGAAATTAATGCAGAACTCCAAGCCCTTCAAAGCAGGAAGGAACAAGCTGCGAAACACATAAGGGATCTGGAGGAAAAAAGAGAGCAAATTCTGGAAGACCATGTCCCGGTGTACAACACAGAAGAAGGAGAGACAGTTAAACAACAGGGTGTGTTTGGTGAAGAATCCCACACGGAAGAAACAAAAATGGAAGGTGTTGAGATCAATAACAAAAGAAGGATACACGATACCTCAATTGAACGAGAAGTAATAGGAATCTACAGTCTCACGGATGATGATGAGGACATTTTTACGAATAAACCAGAGAAGACATCGACGCCGAAGGGAAGCAGGGGAGAAGAGCGTGACTCTAGAAGGAAGCTGAAGAGTGGACACGAAAAGAAGCTAAAGACGGGAGATCAGCCGAGAACAAAAAAGGAAACAGAATTGACAACTGGAAGGACAAAACGAGGCAAAGGAAGGGGAAGAGGGAAAGACCCGCTAAGAGAAAACACGAAAATGGAAGATCTCCATGATAAAGAAGATATTCCCATTGGCGGAAAGAGGAATCCTGTTCTAGAATTTAACGATAACCAACCAGATATGACCGACCTGGAAGATGAGAAAGTTGAAGACCTATCACCAGAATTTTCGAAATTTCTCAAGGCACTCGAAAATTCCAAGGTTCTGAGAGGGTTGAGTGAATCTTGTAAGGAAATAAAAAGTGAAATTGTTCTAATCAAGAATGATATCAAGAATTTAAACGGGAAAGTTGATAGAATTTTGGAGGGACCAGTAGACTGGAAACTTGTGAAAGACCTTAAATCAAAAATTGATAAGCTAGAGCCCCAGAAACTGGAATCAGCAATGGCAAAGGTTCAATCAGCGGTCACTTCTTTTGCAGACGCCGCTAAAATAACAAAAGTCCAAAATCATGTCCATGAGGCCGACTATCAACAAAAGGTGACGAAAGCCGCTAGCCTTAACTACGCGCTGAAAGATACCAACAGATTCAAACTACTCATACAAGCAGACTCGAAGGACGCTCCCCAAGAGGCTGAAGAGATACGAGTGAAGGTCACAACAAAAATTCCCATGAAAAAGATCGCGGAAAGGAAGGGCAACATTTTGGCTGTAAGGAAACTGAAAAACGCTATCTGCATCGAGGCCACAGCGGAGAAAAAAGCGGACATTGTTTCGCTTTTCAAGAAAGACCTAACTCCCGACAAACTTGAGGTTAAAGAGGTTACATGCGATGTTGTTACGGTGAAGATTGCTACAGTACCTAGAGAAATGGAAGATAAGGAAATCATCGAGGGAATCTCTGAAGGCCTGGAAAATGTACCCTTGGAAAAAATAATGGAAAATGTCAACTTCTTGAGGAGGAAAAATGCACGGCAATGGGGTAGATCACTGGTGTATGCTCGTATTGGTGGAGACATTGCAGATAGAGTAATCAAGAAAAAAGAATTTTTCATGGGTTATTCTGGTAGAGTGCAGATATCACCTGCCGTATGTGTCATGTCTTGCAGTACCTGTGGCGATTTTTCACATTCCAAAAGATTTTGTACGATGGAAAAAAGGTTATGCTTCAGGTGTGCGAAAGATGATCATGAAATTGGCAAATGTAAGATAAAAGAGGTCAAATGTATCCTCTGTACACGACGGAATAAACCCGCTGGGCATGCCTACGCCTCCTCGATTTGTCCATTATACCGCGAGGCAATAGAACGACAACTGGCACGCGAAGGACGTGGATTGGGTGACTGTACTATGGAGGAGTACCTACAGATAAATGATGAGTCATAAGTTCATTGAACTCGAGTGCGGTCATCAAGCGGCTATCAGTTCATGCGAACAATGCGTTCAGTGCGAACAACAACGACCGGAGAATTTTAAAGATCCAAGTAGAGTATGGAGCAGGGAGGTTAAACTACCACGAAAAGAAGAGAGGAATAAATTTAACCTGCTGGCAACTCCGCTTCGTTGGGAAAAGAATACTAAATTAAACAATTTAGCTGATAGGAATAAGTGTGAACTGGAATGCGAGCATCGCATTCCTATAAGTAACTGCTCAACCTGCCTCACTGAATCGAGTGGGACGGGAAAGGAAGGAAGTAGAGACGGGCGTGACACTAGAGGGCGAGGGGGGGCAAGACGCATCCTCTCCAACGTGTTAAGCATGGGTGACCGGCGGGCCGACGAGGGGGGGGGGACGGAGATTTGAATACTACATCTGATAAGAGAGAACTTCAGTGTAAGCATCAACGATGCATTTCGACTTGCCGCTGTTGTTTTCAGCCGGCCCTAATGGGCCTGTATACATGTAAACATTTTACTCTTTTTTCGCGCTGTTATTCATGCAAAAATGCGTTTGTGCCGACCATCGTTTTACCGGGTACACTGACTACAGGGAATGCGCTCCCTCCTTTACAGACGGGAGGGGGAGACCGCGGCCACCGATATACCTATAAATTTATTGGCGCAAATACTAATCGCTCGAGGAGCTCGCTGGATCTTGTCATACGCGAGGCAACAAGAGAAAAAGCTGTCGCCCTAGTCGTATCTGAACCCAACATTAAACGTACTTTGGGCCCGGAGTGGCACACGGACGTAGGGAGAGGAGTGGCCATTTTAATACTGTCTCCGGCCATCGGACGATGCATGCGCTCCGGCCAAGGAAATGGCTATGTATGGATGGAGTTTTCTGACCTTGTTATAGTTGGTTGCTATTTATCCCCCAACGCGGGGATTTCGGCGATGGCAGAATCTCTAGACTGCCTTACAATAGATTTGGGCCCTGTAAAGAAAGGAGTTTTAATCATGGGAGATTTTAACGGAAGATCAGAAGAATGGGGGGACCGCCTTGCCAATCAGCGTGGCACAACGCTTTCTGATTGGATCGCTTCGAATAATTACATAATACATAATGTGGACTCAGGGTCCACTTTTCGTAATACGAGGGGCGGCGAATCGGTTGTAGATCTGGCAATTACAAATAAAAAACTGGCACCATTCGTGTCAGAGTGTACAGTGTTGCAGGATGATTATCTAAGCGATCACCAACCGTTAAAGCGGTCCCTGCGCACTAGGGGTCGTCCCTATGTACCGCCGCAGAACATACTGCCCCGCTGGCGCGTCAGAGACGGGGACCTTGAGGAATTGTCCAAGTTCTTCCAAACGCAGACCACTCCCGGCGTCATTGACCCTGCGGAGTGTACTGCGCTAATTACGGACGGGTGTAAATCTTCGCTTAGAGTGTCGCGACCTGGTTGTCTGCGCCGGCCTGAATACTGGTGGTCAACAGAAATCGCAGACTTACACGGTATAGTAAATGCGCAAAAGCGTGAGTAGCTACACGCAAAAGACAGGGCCGGAGCTACTCCGACTGAAGTAGGTTTTTTGGAGGCGCAGTGGCGCTCCACGCGGGGGGAATTAAGAGCGATGATTACTAGGTCCAAGACGGAGAAGTGGAGGGAGGTTCTGGAGGCGGTCGAGGAAGATCCCTGGGGAGAAGGCTACAAGATTGTTACTAAGAAATTTCAGCCTATCGATCCGTCCACTCTTCCAACCAAGACGGAAAAGTTGAAAATCGCGGAGGACCTGTTTCCTGAGGGACCGACGTTTGAAAGAGAGGTTTTTGACGTGGCGGACAAGGATGTCCCGCAGTTTACCAGAGAAGAGCTAACGAATGCGGTCGGTCGGGTCAAGGGTCGAAAGGCCCCGGGTCCGGAGGGGCTGCCTCCCGAAGGAGTGAAGCTTTTTGTCCTCAAAAACATAGATATCTGTTTAGCCATGTTTAACGTTTGTCTTTTGTCGGGTATTTTCCCTCTATCATGGAAAGTTTCTAAATTACTGCTACTACCGAAACCAAGGAGATCACCGGATTCGCCCCTTTCTTATAGACCTATTTGTCTCATAAATGTTCTCGGTAAGATTTTGGAACGGTTAATCGTGGTCAGATTAATACAAGAATGCCCTGATTTAGCAGATAATCAATTTGGTTTCCGCCCCGGCTGCTCA